ACTGTCGTTCACTCCATGGGAGTCAAGGAACACAGCCCTTATGCCAACTGCTGGTCCCTGGAGGAGTGATTTCTTGCTGCCTGTCTCTCCAATGAGTGCATGCATCCTATAGCAAAAATCTCTCTCAAAAATATAAAATCAGAAGAATGAATATAATACAGCTTCCTAGTCCAAGCAGAAATAGCATTGTTGCTTTGATAATTTGATTTTTTTTTCCTTTTCTCTGCGTTTAACAAAACTGCCTCACCGACTTAGTTGCTGTGGTACTCTGTGGTTCTACCCTAATGGAGAAACTTTATCCTGGACAGTTTATCAGCACTGGCATTCTCAAAATGTAGATACATCCATTTGATACCACCTCAGTTTTGGGGTGGTGTGATGTAATTTGAAAACACTTCCATCACCACCCCTGTAACAATCAACTTTATGAGATTTGTCCAATGAGGCAACAGGTTGAAAAGTATGGGGCTTGATTTGTTAAACATCTCAGAGCCAGCCAGGGTCAAGGCAGGTTGGCAGGAGCCTCTGACTTGGCAGTTTCGAGCTTGGTATGACCTTCAGCTAGAGATTAAGTATCATGAATGGCTGACAACCTTAGGGGAGAAGTTTGCTCTTCTCATCGAAAGCAGTATGAGCTATCATGATTACTTTTTAAAATACTTTTTTCCAGTTTCTTTTATTAAAGGTTTTTGCCATAGGATGTGTGTACTCACTGGAGAGAGAGAGAGAGAGACAGTGAGAGGGAAAGTGAGAAATCACCCTTCAGGGGGATGGCCCCACTGCAGTCCCTTCTCCTCCATTCTCCTGAGATTTTGGGCACACATGCACATGCACCTGGTGTGATTTTCAAGCCGACAGGTCTGGGATTCGAATTGTAGTCGACCATGTGGGAGTCCAGTGCCTTAAAACCATTATACCACCTGTTGACCTCCAAATATGTTCTCCACTTAAGAGAAAAACTAGATTTGACAGTTCAGAAATTGGTAATGCCTGAATTCACATTTTGTGTAAAATGTTTTTTTTCTTTTTTTTTTGGGGGGGGGGGAAGTTTTTTTTTTTCGCTATAGGGCGCGTGCGCTCACCAGACAGAGAGAGACAGAGAGACAGAAAGCGAGAAATCACCCCCCAGGGGGGATGGCCATGCCGCAATCCCTTCTCCTCCATTCTCTTCTCAGGATCTTGGGCATGCACACACATGTGCCCAGCGTGAGTTTTAAGCCACTGGGTCCGGGACGCGAACCGAGGTCGACTACGTGGGAGTCCAGCGACACAGCCATTACGCTAACTGCTGGTTCCCTGTGTAAAATGTTTTGAGTTCAAAGTAGTGCCCGTTCACTGATTTCTTCCATAGTTTAGAGGAACCACTTCCTACACTGCAATATACTCCATTGTCCTTTTGCCTGCAAAAGCCTGTATTCCTATACACAGAATCACTTTTCATTCTCACAGGTTTTTGAAAGAGTTTGACCATCTTTACACACATTCATATCAGTGGATGCATTTAGAACCTTGTTATTCTGAGAGAGAGCATGTACCAAAACTGAGAATCAGCTGAAGCAGCCGATAAGAGTGGTGGTTAAGGGGGCTGAATCCCATATGGCTGACTGCGTGGTTCAAGTTCTGGACCTGGCAGGTTGAAAACCATTCAGGGCATGTGTGTTCTTTTTTGAAAAGAATTATTTATTTAATTCCATTTGTTATTATTTCTTTAATTTGACCAGAGAGAGGGAAAAGGAAAAGGAGAAAGCAAGTCATCAGGTCCAAGACTTGAACCACATTCGGCCCTGTGGGAATCCAGCGCCTTTAATGCCTGCCAGCCTCGGCATATGTGTTCTTAATGGTTCTACTCATTCATTTATTTGGGGATATTAGACACTTACTCCAACCTTAACTTGCTTCACTGACTAGTTACAGATTTCTAAACAGTGCAGTCTCTAATAGAGTTAACAGTGTATTAGCAGTAAGCTGGCAAGAGCAGAGACTGGGACTGTAAAGCACGTTTCCTGTCAATTTCCTACTAATCCTATTCATCTTTTTAAATGTTAGGAGCTTCCCGGCCTGGGTCTCACAGGACCAAGGCATTTAAAAGGTTATTACCAAACAGCTTAGTTGATAATTAAGTTTATGGTTTAAATTTATAAATAAAGGTTTTCATAACCTTAGAATATAAAATATAAGACATCTTTGCTTTCAGTCACCTGTAGTTTTTATTTCCCCAAAGAATTGTTTTGTTTATTATTATTATTAATTTGACCAGCGCAAGAGGGAAAGTGAGAAAGCAAACTGCCAGGTCTGGGACTCACGACTGCGGTCGGCCATGTGGGAGTCCACATGTGGGAGTCTAGCGCCTTAACCACCATACTACCTGCCGGCCTCACCTGCCGTTTTTATCAGTTCACATTTCTCCCAAAATATTTAACTTGCTCAACTGTCTCGACTGTATTTTAATAATTAGAAGTAATTTCTCTTACAAACATGTTTGTTATTATTTAAGTATTATTACCAGTATGTTCTAGTTATTTCGGTTATTTTTTCAGCTCCAGTAGTTTTGGATGAGAATGTGCTATTAGATAAGTTCATCTCAATGCCTTTGTAAAGTATTAAAAAAAAAAAAAAAAAAACTCAGAGACCAGCAGATGCGTAATGGTTACATTATTGGACTCTCACGTAGTTGACTGCGGTTCAAGTCCTGGACCCAGTTGCTTAAAACTTAGGCCGGGTGCATGTGCCTATGTGCCCGAAATCCCGAAAGGAGAATGGATAAGGGACTGTGGTGTGGCCATGATTTATTGTTTTCTATCTCCAGTGAGCATACGCACCCTATAGCCAAAATCTCTCTTAAAAAAAAAAAAAAAATCAAAGCTAGGGATTTTCTTACATTAGATGGAAACAGTATCTGCAGGGAGAGAAACAGCTTACTTGCTTTCGGAACCTAGGTCTTAGAAATACTGGGCTGTCGGAAAAGGCAGGATGTATTTTTCTGTGCAAATATGCATCATGACTTTTCTGATGACTTTTCAGATGTTAAAGCTGGCTCCATTTAATCCGTGGCTTTAATTTGCACAATGTCACTTGCTGCTCTTTTCTTCTTACAGAAGGCTAGAGCAGCCTCTCTCCCCTTCCTAACACTAATATCACAACTGCAAAGGACATATTCATGATGTTGTATGTTCAAAAGCTTGTGGAGGTGGGGCCAGCAGGTGCTATAGTGGTTAGGGTGGACTTCCATGTAGTTAGTCAGCTGCGGTTCGAGTCCTGGAACTGGCAGCTTGAAAGTCATGCTGGGCGTTTATGTGTGAATGTGCAAAATCTTGAAGGAGAATGGAGGAGAAGAGACAGTAACAGGGCCACCCCCCCCCACCCCGGGGGTCTGAAGGAGAATGGGGGTGTGATTTTTCACTGTCTGTGTCTCTCTGGTGAGTGCACAAGCCCTTTAGCAAAAATCTCTCAAAAAAAGAAAAAAAAAAACAAAACTTCTTGGTCCCTTGGCTATGGCACTAAAACAATTTGTCCACAGTCTTATTTTGCATAACAAGTTTATTTTTTTCCAAAAGGCATATAGACAATAAACAAAGTAAACATGTAATGAAATCTTAACTTCTGCCCTAGAAGTTCCATTAAGTTCCAGTCTCTAAACATTTTTAGTTCAATAGTCATCATCTTCATCAGAGTCCATTACTTTTCTTCTGTTGAACTGGGGGTGGAAATTAAATGAGTGTCATAACATATTTAATATAGCATAACTCTGGTTTTCTGAGAAGCAAAACTTCTACCTACTTTAAACAAGACATTTTTGTGTCTTTTAAGCAACTCAGTGAACTAGGAAGTTGGGATGGGGGATGGGGAGGCAATGGCCTTAAAAACTAGACCCCCTAAATATATTCAGCCTTTGTCCCCAAACTTCTGTATGTTACAGAAGTGTCCACAGGCTGAAAGGTGTTCTGATATGGAAGATGCAGATTTCACATTTAACATGGAAAACATCGGTCTTTTCTTTGCCACATGCATTTGGGGAAACTTACTTTAACTGTTGTTTTCTTCTCTGTCTGTTGGCTTACTTTTTCAAGGATTTCTATTAAACCTTGTTCTGATACCTAGGATAACCAGAAGGTAAATCAGTACTTTTTTAAACAAAGAGTTTATTTCAGCAGAGTGAACAATTTTACAACCTTTCTGGGGTGTTGAGGAAGAACTAAAGCTGGTTTAACTATCGGTGTAAGTTCCGAGTAAAACCTGCCGGGCTGTTCCTCACTGAGAAGTGGGAGGGAGGTAGTGCCCATCGAACAGCTTCCTCAGGACCATCCAAAGTTAACAGAGATTTCAGAACTGTATCACCACTAGCAGACAGCAGCCGTGCACACCACTGTGTTACGTGCAAGGGAAAAAGACAGTCTCTATCCTTAAGACACCACCCTGAAGGACAGAAGTCACACTCAAAAGAGATCAACTGTATGTCTTTTGACATGCGAGTGGCTCCCAGTGGGAGAGGGGTTCAGAGGCAGCAGTGGGCATCCCAGTACAGCCTGGGAACAATTTTTTTCTTCAAAAGGCATATAGACAATAAACAAACTAAATATTTAATGAAATTTTCACTTCTGCCCTAGAAGTTCCATTAAGTTCCAGACCCAGGCTGTTGGGTCTTGAGGAAGGTGGGGCTCGTCAGGAGATAGGAGATGCCACTTGTGGCATTAGAGCAACACATAATAGCAAGGGATTTCAGCGCCTCGTCATTAAATAAGCCTAACTGCTACCAACACTGGTGGTATTTTCCTTGGAACCCCTGGCAAACCCTGTTTCTAGTGCTGGAGCAATGTAAGCTAACAGTTGTTGGGTCGCACGTGCCCCACAAGGTTCCACAGCCATGTCAAGAAAGAGCAGAGGACTTTAGGCAAGGCAGGTAGTTAGCTCTTAGAATCTGTGATAGGTACGACTAGTTTCTCCTTTAAAAATTCTTCCAAGAGTCAACAAGAATTCTATAATCAAATGGAGATAAAATTGACCTTCTGAAGCGATAGTGAGTGACAGGAGGCAGATGCCCTCAAGGTAGTCCAGACTTACCTTCCCACTTAGCTGTCCGTACCTCGCCATCTGTATAAGGTAATTCTCTACTGCTTTCGTTTTTTCAGGCTTTACAAGTGCTAAGTTACTTACTTAAAAGAAAAAAATATATATATTCAAAAAGGCATCAGGACGAAATGTATGTATATCTATTTTATACCTTAAAACTATGCACTGATATTCCCAAAGCACTTTCTAAGCTTGTTTATGTCTTTTAACGAGCAAAGTAATACATATACAGGGCATATGGTATCATTATTCCTTTTTTTTAAAAAAAAAAGTTATTTTATTTAACTTTATAATTAGACCAGAGAGGGACAGAGAAAGAGAGAGAGGGAAAGTGAGAAAGCAAGCCATCAGGTCCAGGACTTGAACCATGGTCGGCCATGTGTGAGTCCAGTGCCCTTAACCACCAACCCACCTGATGGCCCCTCACTGTTCCTCTTAGACAAGGGCAAACAAAGGTCTAGCCATGGCAGCGTGCCCTGGGTGCTGACGTAAGGCTGAGGCCACCTGGGAGGACTGTGACATGGCAAGGCCCTATTCTAATCTCCCACCTCCGAAGTAAAAACTATAGCTCAGCCATGTCAATCTCAGTCAAGCTGCACATAGTGGTGCAGGCAAGATTCAATTTGGGTTCTCAGATTCTAAGCCCCATGCGTTCGTTTTTCTTAAAATAGCTGGTTGCCCTCTGAAAACTCATTTGCTTATTACCACACACATGTAATGGTAGCGATCCATCTACGGCTGGGCTTTAGGTTATCATAAAGAGAGCAGTTTATTCTAACTGGCTCATTTTATTTTCTTTCTGCATGGTTTCTTTGATTTTTATTATGAAACTCTGTACATATAGCAAAACCGAGACTACAATAACCAATCCTTAAGTTCCCAAAGCCCATGTCAACTACCAGTAACATTTTGTGACTGACTCGACTACTTTACCTATGGGGTTGTCGGAAAAAAAGTATTTTCTATGAAAAATACGTTATGACTTTTTACCAAAGAGCCAACAGTAGGTGGTTAGAGAACATCTCCTTGGTAAGAAAGAACTGAGCTGGCACTTTTTTTTTTTTTGAGAGGTTTTTTTGCTATAGGGCGCGTGCGCTCACCAGACAGACAGAGAGAGACAGAGAGACAGGAAGCGAGAAATCATCCCCCAGGGAGGATGGTCACGCCGCAATCCCTTCTCCTCCATTCTCCTCTCGGGATCTTGGGCACGCACGCACACGCGCCCCGCATGAGCTTTAAGCCATCAGGTCCGGGACTCGAACCATGGTCAACTACGTGGGAGTCCAGCGACATAGCCATTATGCTAATTGCTGGTTCCCTGAACTGGCATTTTTATTATTAAGTACAATAAACTTTCTAGATTTATAAATATTGTTTGTTTTTTTGCCATAGGGTGTGTGTGCTCATTAGAGAGAGAGAGAGAGAAAAGAGAAATCACCCACACACACAGGAGACGGCCATGCCTCAATACCTTCTCCATTCTGCTCTTAGGAATTTGTGCACGTACATGTATGATTTTCAAGCTGCCAGGTCCGAGACTTGAACCACTGTCAGCCACCATGCTGCCTGCTGGTCCCTAAACTGTACTTTTTACAAGTAATTTATATCTCAAGTGTTTCTAGGTTAAACAAATTTTAATCTAAAGATAAGAATAACTGGGGCCAGCCAGGGATGTGGTGGTTAAGGCAGCTGGCTGGCTATGTGGTTTGAGTCCTGGACAAGGTGGCCTGGAAACACTCCAGGCACATGTTTGTGCATGCCCAAAATTCCCAAAGGACAATTGGAGAAGAGACTGACCATCCCCTATGGGGAGGTGCTTTCTCACTCCGTTCCCCTCTCTGGTAGGCACACTTGCCCGCAAGCAAACTAAAAAAGAAAAAAAAAAGAGGTAACAATAACTGCATATATAGCTCTCTACTCAACTAACTCAGGTCAATGTTATGAAAGTAAAGGAAATGGAAGATGCTTACACCTGGCCCGGGCTGACTGGTCCAGAACTTGGGCTAAGATACTGTTTCGCATTTCTGCTTCCCTACAACAAAAACACAGGTCAAGCAAAATTAGGACTAAGCTGTCATTGTTCTATTGAACATATGAAAAAAGAACTCATTCTAAATGTCTCTCAGGACAGAAGCCTGCACTGCAGAGTGTCCCAGGGGAAGCGCTGTGAGAAGGCGGCAGCTGCATTAAGTACAAGGACCCACTAGGCCCTCGGAGAGCTAGCGTGGTATTACCTGGCTATAAACCCACCTCTCAAATAGAAGCCTTACATTTTCATACATCAGGGTGGAGTGCCAGTTCAACCATTATTATGAACATTCGTTAACTACCTAGTGTGTGACAGGTGTGGAAATCTGTAGTGTGATTTCAAGCAATTCCAAGGACCAAGGGAGAAATCTGTACATTTCCTTAAGAGATGAAGCTATGGTAGAGAGACATAGGGAACCATGGCCAAACTGGAACCAGAACCCATGTGTAAAGACTCTCAGTGCTATTTTGGGGATGGGGAGGGGAGCAAAATGACAACTTTGCAAACATCCTACCTACTCAAGTGAGAATGAGTTCGTGTTGATGCACAGTGGCTTCAAACTGCCTTAAAGTATCTTTTTTTTTTTTTTCCCCTTTTCTTCAAATGGAAGTCCTTCAAGGAACCTAATACACAAACCACAGGTGCAGAGGTGCTTTGGCTTAATTAGGGAGGGAGTTAAGGCTGGCTGTACTCCAGCTCGGATGCCCTAGGGTTGGATCAGAGAACATGGCTTCAATTTCACTTCCACAAGACATCTGATAGCTCCTCAATGCTACCACCCTGTCATGAACTATTATTGCTCTATTTCACCAAACCTAAGATGCCCTCACATGTATGATGTACCGTAGTTTTATGTATCTAAGAATAAAAAAAAAGTAATAATAATGCAGATGAGGTCTAATAAGAGACCCCCACTCAAAGCTGGGGTATCAGAGAATGGCGTCAGCACAGGTAAATGAGAAATGAACATGCCATGCAGAAAGGGACAGCAAGGAAACTGGCACGCGTCCTGCTCTGAGGAAGAAAAAGTTCTGAGTGGGCCAAGAGGTGGCATGGAGGTTAAGGCGCTGGATCCCACATGGCTGACTACGGTCTGAGCCTGGGACCTAGGGCTAGAAGATCACACCTGGTGCATGTGTGCCCAAGATCCTGAGAGGAGACTGGAAGAGAAGAGACAGCCGGTTGGCCACCGCCTAGGGAGTGATTTCTCACTTTCTCTGGCAAGCACACATGTCCTATAGCAAACACCTAAAAACAATAACAATTTCTGAGAATTTAAACTTGAGAGTTGTTCTCACAGGGCTGCAGTCTGAATTCACAGTTCCAGCAAAGAGGGGAGGCGTGTATCTCGAGTAGAGAATTGAAGAGATCCTGGATTAGAAATGTTCTCAAATGATGGCAGAAACAGAAGTAAATCCTCGCTGAAAGAATCTGGGACGAGAGTGACTAATTATAAAATCCATCTCAATTTCAGATGTTAAGATGTGAAAAAAATGTCCATCTCGGAAGCAATGAAATCCATACGGTTTTACTTTGTTCGTATCACTATCCCAAGCGCCTACCATCTGTGCTTTCCCGATCCTTCCCTGACTTGCCTAGCAAGTGCTCACTAAGTATTTGCTGAAGGAATGAAGGAGCTAAAAGGCAGCAGGAGGGCAGAAGGGAAAATGGGGAGTTGTTAACAGGTACGTTTTGCAAGATAAAAAGTTCTAGAGAGCTGTTGTTCAATGATGTGGATATAATGAATATTAATGAACAGTACACTTAAAGTCATTGAGATGGGCTTTACCATGGTTAAGTGCAGAGTACTACAAGCTGGATCTCACATGGTCAACTGTGGTTTGAATCCTGACCCCAGCAGCTTAAAAACATGGTGGGGGCGCATGTGCAGGGTTGTCCCAAATCCTGACAGAATAGACAAATGGAGGAAGTGGATTGTGGCATGACCATGCACCCCTGGAAAGTGATCTCTCTCTCTCTTGTGTGGGCATGTACCCTTTGGTAAACAAAAGAAAAAGAGACTGAGATGGTAAATTCTCTGTATATTTTACTACTTTTTTATTTTTTTAAAGAGAGATTTTTTTGCTATAGGGTGCATGCGCTTGCTAGAGAGACAGAAAACAAGAAGTCACCTGCCGGAGGGATGGCCATGCGTATCACTATCCCAAGCGCCTACCATCTGTGCTTTCCCGATCCTTCCCTGACTTGCCTAGCAAGTGCTCACTAAGTATTTGCTGAAGGAATGAAGGAGCTAAAAGGCAGCAGGAGGGCAGAAGGGAAAATGGGGAGTTGTTAACAGGTACGTTTTGCAAGATAAAAAGTTCTAGAGAGCTGTTGTTCAATGATGTGGATATAATGAATATTAATGAACAGTACACTTAAAGTCATTGAGATGGGCTTTACCATGGTTAAGTGCAGAGTACTACAAGCTGGATCTCACATGGTCAACTGTGGTTTGAATCCTGACCCCAGCAGCTTAAAAACATGTGGGGGCGCATGTGCAGGGTTGTCCCAAATCCTGACAGAATAGACAAATGGAGGAAGTGGATTGTGGCATGACCATGCACCCCTGGAAAGTGATCTCTCTCTCTCTTGTGTGGGCATGTACCCTTTGGTAAACAAAAGAAAAAGAGACTGAGATGGTAAATTCTCTGTATATTTTACTACTTTTTTATTTTTTTAAAGAGAGATTTTTTTGCTATAGGGTGCATGCGCTTGCTAGAGAGACAGAAAACAAGAAGTCACCTGCCGGAGGGATGGCCATGGCAATCTCTTCACCTCCATTCTCCTCTGGGGATCTTGGGCTTACAAGCACATGCGCCCGACATGAGTTTCCCCCCCCCCTTTTTTTTTTTGAAGTTTTTGGCTGAAA